ATTTAAAGATGTATGAGATCAGAAAAGCATGCCATATTTTATACCGCTGTTTCTACATCTGCAAAATAAGAATGGCAACACCAAGTCTTATTTTCTAGAAATATAAATATTCTGAGATTCAAAACACTAAATATCCAGGCACTTCTCAAACTAAGCGGTTAGAAAATACTAAATACTATTGTCAGACTATACCTCACCCAGTTTTGGGGAATAGAACCCTTGAATAGCAGTTTTCTACTCTTGACTAATGTTGATTTATAGAAGACAGGTTTATTGTCATATAGAAGGCAGTAGTACCTTTTAACCCAGAGAATTTCATTTCGGTAGGGTAACCAATTTTTTTTTCTATTGCAGTATATGGAGGAACGTAGAAAACAGAAGTGGCAGAGATGTAAAAAAAATAATAAGGCAGGATTGAACTGTTTGGGAATGGAACCAGTACAGACAGCCAACTCTAGAAATGGGAAAAAGGTGAGACTGTAGCACTTTATCATGCTGTCTGCCATATTCTAAGAGATTCCATGGTGATTGGCCCTTTTACCCTTTCCTCTCTGTATGTTTTATGTAAAATTACCTTCAGTTCACCAGAATACTGTTATTGATATATTCAGCTGTAGTACTTTTTTGCATTAGAAAGGCACATCAGGGTTTATCCTTGTCTTCTACCATAACTAAAGAACTTTTTGCAAGTCCTTTACCTCTTGAAAAGTTGGGTGTTTTAAGCCTAGAGTAGTGGTGCACACCTTTAATCACAGCACCTACGGGGCAGAAGCAGGCACATCTCTGAGTTCCAGACCATTCAGAGCCGCAGAGTGAAGCCCTGTCTAAAGAAAAGTGGATGTTTTGTAGTCAATACTAAAGATTAAACCTTAAGCTTACTAGAAAAAATACTTTATCACTAAGTTACACCATCAGGTAAATAATCTTAAAAGTTTTATAATTCCATATATTATAGGAGTAATTGGTAATCGTGGATGCTACTTAAAAAAATAGCCGTGGAGTTTCTTAACATACAGGAGATTGAGAATTAATGATATGTCAGTAATAGAAAAAGCACAGGAAATCACATTTTACTTTTGCTTATTTAATTTTTATCTTAAGTGTATGAGTGTTTGTCTTCGTGTTTATCTGTGCACCATGTGCATGCTTGTGCCCTGAAAGTCAGAAGAGAGTGTCAGAAGAGAGTCTCTCGAACTGGAGCAGACAGTTGTAAGCTGCTATGTGGATGCTGAGAACCCAGCCTGTGTCCTCTGGAAGAGCAGCCAGTGTTCTTAACCACTAAACCATCTTTCCAGTCCCCAAAACATATTTTTTTCCAAGTTAATCCGGTTTTAGTCAACTAGACTATTTTATACCAAGCTTATGTACCATTTGGAAGATTGAGCGTGTATCATTTCTTTTTTCTGCCAAAATATTACTCTGGAAATTCCTCTTTATCATGCTTACCTTATTCTTTATAGTTTGTATGTCTGAATGCATGTGTATAGCATATAGTGTATATACACTATACATGGTATGTATCATTTATAGTAGTATGTCATATTGACACTTTGGGCTGATGGTAAAAATGCTTGCTGATAAGCTAAGCTTGACAACCTGTTCTGTCCTCAGAGCACAGATAACAATGGCAGGAGAGAACCAACTCCAAAGTTATCTGTCCTCTGACTTCCATGTATATGTTATGTCCATATACATCATAAATATATATACATTATTAGTATTTATTATCATATTTATTATCATAAATATATACATTATTAGTTCAAATTTATATTTTTCTAATTTCTTTTTTATGTTCATTGATGTTTTACCTGCATGTATGTCTATGTGAGGGTGTCAGAAGCTCTGGAACTGGAGTTACAGATGATTGTGAGCAGTAACCATCTTTCCAGTCCACATCTCACCCTACCAGCTCCCCTCCCCCCCCCTTTGTTTTTTAAGAAATAAATCTTACTACATTGTCCAGGCTAGGTCCAGACTCGTAGGCTATAGTGATCCTCCTCCCCTTGTCTCCTCAATTGCTGGGACTGTGGACATAGGCCTCCTTGCCAGATACAGTTCTTTCGCTCTTGGAGTAAAATTGGCAATGATTCTGGTGCTACATTATTTCTAAGGCCTGCAGTCGTCTAGGCATTATTGCAACTATATTTTGAAAGTCTATGCCATAAGTGTTGAATATTTACTTTTCCAGGTCAAAAAGTATGTTCCATGTCAGGTGTTAGGTTTCCATTTTTAAGTTTTGGAATATCCAAAGATATAGGTACCAATTGTGTTTAGTTCATCCCATATGATGCTTGGACCAATAGCAAAGTAAAGGTACTAAGGTATTAGGTTCCAGCCTTACTGAATGCAATAACTATCTGGGGGAAATGTTTAAAATTCAGCAAATATATACAATTTATTTTGTTGTAGAGGTTTATTTGTGTGTGCTTTCTTGTCTTTCCTTTTGTTTGTTTTTGAGACAGAGTCTCACTCAATAGGCAAAGCTGGCTTAGAAATAACTATATTGGCCAGGCCATGGTGTCACATACCTTTAATTCCAGCACCTAGGAGGCAGAGACAGGTAGATCTCTGTGAGTTTGAGGCCAGCATGTTTTACAAGGCTACACAAAGAAACCCAGTCTCAAAAAAACGAACGAACGAACGAGAGAAAGAAAACCATATTCCAAGCTATCCTTGAACTCTTGGCAGTTATCCTGCCTTGCCCTCCAAAGAACTGAGGCATGAGCCACCACACCCAGAAAATAATAAGTTTTTAATCAATGTGGAAATGTTTATTAAATTTGATAAGTTGCTCATAATCTTCTTGGATATCTTAAACTGACCCTGCTTCTATGTCATAATCATAGAGGATAACTGTAAATGTCTATGTAGTCTCTGCACTTCATGTAAGATCATATCAACAAACTGCTGTCAGTGTACACTCAAGTACATTTTTATTTGCATGTACTGATTGATTCACTGTCTAACCCCTTGCTAACAAAGGGGAAAGACATTTGTAAAATGGTTGGCTGCTCAAAAGTATGATGTCATGTAAAATGGAGGAAAAATCTTCCAGGTTAACATGGCTATCAATATCAAATTATTGATTTCAGCCTCAACCTCAGAGTGCTTCAGCCAGTTAAGTACAGCATTTCCTTCCCCCATTAAGCCAGTCAAGCCAAGCCTGACTATTGAGCAAGCATTTCTAAGCTAGGACACTTGCGGTTTCTGGGTCAAGCCTCCATCTTTTTATTGTCTTCTTTTGTTCCTACCTCACAGGGTCACTATGCTGAAACTGCATTCAACCGGGTTTTACCAGGACCTATTGCACCAGAGAACAGCAAGAAACGCGTCCGTAGGACAAGACCAGACCTCTCTAAGATGATGGCCCTGATGCAGGGTGGAAGCACTGGGTCCCTGTCTCTGCATAACACCTTCCAACACAGCAGTAGTAACCTACAGTCTGTGTCGTCTCTGGGTCACAGCAGTGCCACTTCTGCATCTCTGCCTTTTATGCCGTTTGTGATGGGTGGTGCAGCAGCACCCCCTCATGTAGACTCCAGCACCATGCTTCATCATCACCACCACCATCCCCACCCCCACCATCATCACCATCACCATCCAGGCTTGAGAACCACTGGCTACCCTTCTTCACCAGCTACTACCACCTCTGGTACTGCCTTGCGGTTACCAACACTGCAACATGAGGACGATGATGAAGAGGAGGATGAAGATGATGATGATTTATCTCAGGGCTATGATAGCTCAGAAAGGGACTTCTCACTCATCGATGATCCTATGATGCCAGCCAACTCAGACTCCAGTGATGATGCTGATGACTGAAGCCCCAGTATAGACCCCATTGTTGGGTGGCTGCTGGAATCTCTTACTCTGGCCCTTGGACGTTGGAAATGTGGGAGGGGCAGGGAACAATATGGGGAAACCCAAGACTTCAGGAGGTGAAAAGGAAAAGAAAAAAGAAAAAAAAAAACAAAAAACTTGTACATGATTGCTCCCGATTCTGAGAGGATTGGGTGGGCAGGGGAACTCCTAAAAAAATAATAAATGACCACTTCCTCGTTTCTGGGGAAGCAAAGGAGCCTAGAGCAGCTGGTGTGCTCACCCCTCCCCAGACACCTCCATTAACCACAGACTATGTAGCGCTGGCCCTAGCCTCTGGCAGAGCCTGTTCCTGGCCAAACTGTGGAATACAGCTGGAGGGTCAGGAACTGTTACCTTCCTTCCCCTTGGCATTAATAAATTTAAGTTAATCCTTTTCCATTCTTCCCATGTTCTGTTTGCTCTAACACAATATAAGCACTAATTCTAGGCATGCTGGGTAATTTAAACATCACTTTCCTACAGTTCAATACTGTTACCACGAATTAGGAAAGTCATTTGTACTCCTGTAAACATATATAGAATCGTGAATTGTCCCGTTTGCTTAAGCTAGGAAAATGATCCAAGGTAAAGAGATAAAATATTTTTAGTGGAACTCAACATTCTTAAATGAGGGACTTAAAGAACCACATACATATATTTTCTCAATTAACTGAGATAACTATCCTTGGGAAAAGCCAGAGAAAAGTGTTGTTTTTTTTATGCAATACAGCAAAGGCGTGGGCTGGCCGAAAGGATACCTTCATAACTTGGGTCTAGGTCTGGCAAAAACTACAGAGTTAGCAGCCCCTCGAGCCATTTGTTTCCTTCCATCCTACCAGCTCAGCTCTTAAAGGAAACCTGAACATTTATCTTTCTAGTCTGGCCATCCACAGAGCCTTATTCGCGAAGGTGGGCTTGGTTCCGCTGGGTTGCAGTGTTTTAGTTTTGCATTCAACAGCCCTGCCCCAGGGCCGGGGACTCAAGCTTCCTTTGCGCCTGGTTGCACGCTGGTCCCGCTCTTTCTGCTCTCCTCCCACCTCCGCCCGCCGCCCGGAGCGCCCAGAGCTCGGAAAGTGGGCAGGTCACGTGACGGTAGCCCCTGGCGGCGGAGAGAGATTCCAAACCCGGCGAACCGTTCTGTTGACTATTTCACTTTTGCGTCCCTCTCTGTTGCTCTTCTACCCTACCGAGCGAGTTCTGCTTTTTTGTTGTTGTTGTTTAAGTCTTCGACGTTTTAGGGACCCGGAAGCGGAAGAGGACAGCGTGCGGTCGGTACTTCCGGGTCACAGAGAGTGCGGGATTCCGGGCCGAGCGCGGGTCGCGGAGCTGGGACCTCGCGTGATTCTCGGAGCCCGACGGGAAGCGGCGTCCGGGGCTATGGCTGTGACTCTGGACAAAGACGCGTACTACCGGCGAGTTAAGAGACTGTACAGTAACTGGCGGGTAAGGAGGCCGGCGCCCCCGGGAGCCCCACATCCCATAATAGCCTGCTTCCCGGCGCCCTTTTCCCTCGGCCAGGAATCTCGGGCTCCGCCGCGCTGCCGCCTGCCCCGGCAGCGTCCCGCCCGGCGCGCCTGCGGGCTCTGCACGCGCCCGGCCCGCCCCGCAGCCACACCGGCCCGCCCAGGTCCCGCCACAATTACCATTGCGGGAAGGAGGGGCGCGGAAGACGTGCCCGGAGCTCTTGGCGCTCTCCACTTGCGGGCCTCCGCTGGAGTTGAGAAATGGTGCTCCCGCGCTCCGCCGCTCCACGTTAGGCCCTGCGTGGGTAATAGACCCAGCTCCGAAAAACTGCGGGCTCTCGTAATAAGAATAAAACTGATAGGACGCCTCAAACCTGCTTTCCCATGTCGGCAGCGTACCTGGGCACGTGTTGAGGAAAGGGCTGTGCAAGTTCCAGGGCTTCTTCAAAGATGGGGCAGGTTTCCTGTTTTATAATCGCTCATAATTAAAAACTTGTGCAGTTTTTTTTTTTGTTTGTTTTTTGGTTGTTTTTTTTTTTTGCTAGTAACTTGTTAACAAATGTTTGCTTGATTGCATACTATGTTGCTGTCTGAACAGTCTAGCATAAGTCTGGGCTCTGAACCTTGTGAGTGGGAGTAAATATAACCGGTAAAAAGGAACCCGAAAATGCCCTGATAAAATATCAACTCCGGTTTCAGTTTTGTGAACTGTCTTACTGATAGATCCTTTGCAGTCTGAGCTCGTGCCTATAATCCCATGAATTTCGAAATAAGGCAGGAAAATAGCTAGTTTCGGGCCTGTACTTCATAGTTAGACTATTATCAGTCAACTCGTGGCTAAGTAAATAAAATTGACCCTCTACTGAAAGTTGGTTGTTTACCTGCCTCTCATATGAAAAATGCCTGTGTCTTTTAAGCAAGGTGCACTACCTACTGAAAATAAAAAGATTCTCTGGCACATTTTACTAAAAGCCATACTAGATAAGTGCTGAACATTATTTTTTTTTTATTGGCTAATGTTTTTAGATGACTTTATGGTCTCTATCGCAAAATAATTTGATTCAAAATAAATTTCTGGTACTAAGGATTGGTCCTGCCACCTCGTGGTTTATTAAGCAAGTGTCATTCAGCTATAAAGAAAATCTAGAAAATATTTTCTAATGGTCATTGCATCGTGATATGGTATGCTGATAATCAGAAACCCTCTGTTTCCACCATCAACCCTGAAATAATACACTTTTTTAAAGGTTTTGTTGTGTTTTGGGGTTTTTTTGGGTTTTGTTTTTTTAATACTTACGGTTGTTTTGCCTTCGTGTATGTTTGTGCACCCCTTGTATATATTGCCTGCAAAGGCCAGAAGAGGGCGTTGGATACCCTGAAACTGAAGTTACAGAAAGTTATTAGCTGCCATGTGGGTCCGTGTGAACTCTGGTCCTCTGCAAGAGCAGCCTGTGATCTTAATCACTGAGCATCTCTCCAGCCCCTGAGCAAAGTATACTCTTGGTGTTTTCTCTAGTCCCAGAGTTCATCAAGTTATTTCATTTTAAGGCTGTTACAGATAGCATATTTCTTAATTATAATTTTCATAACTTATATCCTAAGTCAAGCACAGCATTGCACACTTTTGAGTAGATATGCCTCACACATTAAGCCTTCGTCTGAGTGTCATTGTTTGGTATTGGTATCTCTGGGCTTTGTTGAAGAAGCCCTCACACCTCGAGCATGGTACATAAGTCTTTCAGTGGTGAGTTATTTGTGTAAGATTTATGCAAATGATGTGCACTAAGTCAATCAGAATATCTCCTACAGGGTCAGTGGTGTGTGTATGTGGTTATTGTCTAGAGAATAATGGTTTAAAATGAGATGTTCAGAATAGATGTGCTCCCCCCTCCCCCCCTCAAATGTTTTCAATCCAAAGTGAGTAGAATCTGCATATTAACTCATGGATATAGAAGGCTGATTCGAGTGTCATTTTGGAGATGAGAAAATAGGCTCAACCAGAGATGAGGGGTGTATATATAGTTCAATGGAGGAAAATACTTGCCTAATGTGTGAGGTTCTAGGTAAGTACCACAAAGCTTAAGAAAGAGAGAGAAAGAGAAAAATCAAGCAGGAGACCATAGTGCCTCTAAACCTTACTATTTTATCACCTTTCTTTTTTTAAAGTGTGTGGGTATGAGTACCATTCCTCACATGTAGAGGTCAGAGGACAACTTTGTAGAATCATTTCTCTTTAAATGTGGATACCTTTATTTGAGTTCTGGGTGTTGAGCACAGTTTGCCAGGCTTGCATAGCAAGAACCTTCATCTACTGAGCCATCTCATCATAATTCCTTTTTTTTTTTTTGGAAGGTAGAATGGGAATACTTTAATACTTTTTTAGGTTTGGTTTTTTTTTTTTTTTTTTTATGTTTCCAACCTTTTTTGTTTAATTTTTTTTATTAATCACACTTTATTTACTTTGTATCCCCCCTGTAGTTCCCTCCCTCCTCCCCTCCTAATCCCTCCCTTTCTCCTCCTTCTCATTTTTCATAATTCTTAAGACATTTGATTCTAGTCCAGTCCTACCTTATGGGGGGGGGGGGGAGACTGATTCAAGACTGTGTGTGTGTGTGTGTGTGTGTGTGTGTGTGTGTGTGTGTGTGTGTAGCCTTAGCTGTCCTGTTGGTAGGCCAGGTTGGCCTTGAACTCACAGATCCGCCTGCCTCTGCCTCCCTGAGTGCTGGGATTACAGGTGTGCACGGTGCCGGCTTCAGTCCTACCTTTCTTATTTTCAACATTCAAACTGCTAAAAAGTAAAAGAGGTTTTTAGTACCTATCTTGTTTCTGTTATAGGAAATCCTAGGCGGTGGTGATAGATCATGAAAGTGGGTTTTGGTTCATCCTGCTGCTTTTCTCTTATGGGGTAACTGTTCAGAGATTTCCAGCCTATTCATTGTTATGATTGCTTTTAACCACTAAATTGATTTAAACTTATGCTTATCGAGGGATTGAACAAAAATCCTAAATTTCTGACTGTTTTGAGGCATAGGGGCCACTGTGTTCAGGCATCTCTACTAATGATTAGGGAATTGTCTTAGAACAGACCTTGACTAACCTTATGCTTTTTGTCTTGAAGAATTACATGAACTGCCAAAATTGCACCTGTTTACAAAAGAAATACTGATCCAGTGCATTTGTTCATTTAGTTATTTGCCAGCTGTCATGCTTGAGGTAATGGGAAGCTGTGGCCCCAAAAAGAAAGTGCATTGCAGTGAGAATTTGCAGTATCAGTTCTTTTGTGTTGCTTTCTGGCTTTTGCTGAGATTTTTATTATAGCTGTTTCTTTTTTCTGAATTCTCTCTTAAGGGTAAGCAGTTATTCTCATAGTTCCAGAAGTTTTTTTGAAATGTAGAAAGTTCCTGTATTACTTTTAGCAAACAGCAAGTTACTTTGATTTATCTCCATTTTTCTCTTTGTTTTCTGTTAGGGTCTCTGGCCTTAAATTTCCAGAGGTCCACCTGCCTCCCCAGCCCAGAGCACTGTGATTAAAGCACTACTTCTGGTACCGACAGGTTTCTTATCAGTCTCTTTTTCTAAAATTCTCAATTTCAGTTTTATTTATTTACTGTTTTAAGCCATGCCTCCTTTTCATATTGATTCCTCAGCCAAGTTGCTCTTTGAGCCTCTTGAATTATAGGATGTTTTTATGCCTGATTGCCTCTATCTTTTAACTCCAATTTTTGTTTTTATTTTTGTGTATGAGTGTTTTGCATGCATGTATGTCTGTTCATGTGCCCACTGAATGCATGCAGTGCTGTACCCATGGTGGCCAAAAAGAGGCATCAGATGCTCTAGAACTGGAGTTTCAGACTGCTGTGAGCTACCGTGTGGGTACTAGGAACCAAACCTGTATCCTCTGCAAGAGCAACAAGCACTTTTTGGGGAATTGGGCCAGTTAAAGGCTCATGATTTTATTGTCTTCATAACAGTCAGCTTAGAACTGGGTCACATAGTCTTTTTCTAGTCCCCTCCCAGGTCAGAATGCTTGCATCTCTTACTGGCCAGCCTCCCCTTAGGTCTGCACTTGGGCTCAGCACATTCAGTTCTCAGCACAATCTTCTTTGTAGTTTTAGCCTTTTTTAGTGGAAAATAGACTTAGTCTGCTCACCATAGCCACTCTGCTTCCATCATAATACCATGTTCCCTGGGCAGGCAGAGAATCTTTGCCCTTCTTTTGCTGTGTCACTTTGTGGGGCCAGTGCTTGCTACATTTCTTGGAGAAAGTCTGGCAAGTTTTAGGAACAGTTTACCATGCCTTCATGAGCAGTATTAGCACAGAAAGTGCAACAACCACTAAGCTGTCCTCCAGCCACATGACTCTGGTTCGTGTTTTTGTTTTGAGAACATTTTATCCAAAAGTTTTTAAAAGCAGAGTAGGTAGGATATAAATTTCTTAAGACCTTTCATATATTAAATATTATTTTATATGATGTAATTATATGATTTACATGAGATTTATATTATTCTACCACTCTAAAAAAAAATCTGATATGACTTTTTAAGGAAAAGCTCATTTGGGGACTCATGTTTCCCAGGGTTCTGGTCCATTGTCACGTAGCCACTTTTGGCATCACAACAAGTGAATGTGTGCCAGAGCCAGAACACATGACCAAAGAGGCATCTTATCTCATGGCACCCAGAAAATGAAGAAAGAAGTAGGGATCAAATCTACAGTATCCCCTTGAAGGGCACCCTTTATCTAGCTTGCTTCCACTAGACCTACCTTCCAAAGTGTCAGGGAAGGGAGATCAAGCCTTTGGCATGGGGATTTTTAAGGAACATTCGATTTGTAGTATTTATTTATCCTTGTTTTGAGTTATTTTTAAAAGATTTTATTTCTATTTTATGTGTAAATGTGAGTTTCTGCATATATTTTGTATACTGCTTATGCAGAGGTCAGAAGTGAAGGTAAGATTTTCTGAAATGGAGGGACAGATG